TTTTATATAATATAACTTCCGATCAGATTGTAACATGTAATGAAATGTAAAATCAAATGACAAATGTTTTCTTTATATTCCCGAGGATCGAACTCGCAACCTTCATATCTGTAGCCCAGTGAGTGTACCACGAGGCTACAGAGGTGAGGATAAGCCTCACTGGTTTTTAGAATGTCCTTTTCAAGATCCATACGCCGTACAAGATATTTTACGCGTGTTTCCTAAGGTTCATCGAAAGTATGTTCGAAACATAAAAATGTTGATAAATGTTGTTTTAAGTTTCTTTTTTCAGTTTATAAGTAAGGAAAAACACTTTCCCTCGGTTTTGGTAGACAGAGCATGCCCTGGGGGTCGGGAAAAACAGCGGGGGCTTCGCCCCCTTGGTTTAACCCTCTCCCCAGGGCATGCTCTGTCTACCAAAACCTCGTGAGTCTGTTTTCTCCAATACTTACAAAAACGCACTGACAAATTGAAGCAGGTTCTTCATAAAAATAACCTCATGTATTACTCGCCCGTGAAGAGATCACCCGTTTAATAAACATAGAGCTGTATGACACCTACATATAGTATGTAATACCAAAGCACCTGCTTCTGTGCTGTAGAAACAAGCTGCATTACCAAATATTGAAAACTCCGAACATCCCTCGTCATATTCAACGACATTGCGTGCATTCTCATCAAAATCAAATCCTACCTCTCGTTACGTCACATGACAGATTTCGCCGTTGGATCTTGCAACAAAATTCCACAAATTACATTATGGGGTATTTAATTGTGACGTGACTCTAAAATTGGAAGTGCATCTGGGACTTGTTCAACAAGGCGATCGTTGCGGCGCGACTGTCGTAAGTCTATGTTAAAGTAGGTGTGTTACGCCAATCTTAGAGCTACGACAGCTATGTGGACCGCACTCCTAAATTCTAAAGGTGGGCCGTTGTATCGTATCAGGTATTAAATTAATAAATGTCGACCCTTAATGTGTTTGAAGTATTATTCTGTTAAACTCAATTGTAATAAGATGTGGATCGCGTAGATGTCTGCCTGTGTGTACACAAAAGTAAAAGTTTAACAAAAAGTTATAAAAGTAATAAATAAAATAAACCACTTCATACCAGCGATGCGGCGTCTGCAACCCGCGGGGCGTCTACGGGCTATGCGACTACGTCATAGGCCGCCGACAACGTTGACTAACTTGGCCAGGCGCCACTAGAGTGTTATGAAAAGACTCCCTCAAATCGTCATGAGGAGACTCGTCAAGTGATTGAATGTTTCCCATACCGAGGCGGAATAACGAAATAAATACACACAAAAATTTAATTCTATTTAAGACGCCCCAAGGTACACCTGCCAATTTGCTCCGGTTAAAGAATGATCGGCCATTAGCAGATTCTGGCACTGCTAAGGGACGCAACTCCAAATCCTGATGATGACATATAGTTAATTAATAGGCCTTAGAGTCAATTAATAGCACAAGAAACATTATACGTTTGCAAGAATGATTAATTGAAATCAGTTTATCAACATGTTGATCTGGAGGATTATTCAGCGTCATCTTCAAATGCATCCTCGTGGGCCTCGCGGAGCTCCTTCTGCAAAGCCGGATCTGAAAGGAGACAATTAAAACCCATTAATACATCCAGTTTCTATGTTACAAAATAATAAGTTCTATCCAATCAATAATAGGTGTCACGGGGAGCCAAGAGGTCTTAGGCACCAGGATCCGCTTCTCCTGGTTTCAGGTTCGTCCTGATTATTATCCTTGATCCATCCCTGAACCACTCACCTTGTCGCGAACATCTGGTATCATCACTCTAATTATGACAGTGATTCAAACACACAATCGTACAAACGTACAATCGACTCTGCTTTTGGCAGAGATTTCTTATCAATATGGGAAGGGGTTTGTCGCTGTTATTTCACCGAATGTGTAAATGACGAACCATGCTTTTCTCCACTGGGACTCACATAACTGGGAAACTCGGCTCGGAGTCAGTATACTGTGTCTGAGTTGGGTATTCATGTTAAACTGTGGCATGGTATCTGAGTGGGCTAGCATTAAAAATCGGCATCAGTCCTGCTAGTACAAGCAGCCACACACACAGACACGTTCATGCACGTCGCCATAAAAGTGCAATAATCTTGGATGCGACGTAATCCCATTTCACCTCACATCTCATCAGCCTCTCACGGTATACGGACCGGTCTTACTGACATCATCATCATACTCTCTGACAAGATGTTATCGGGATATAACAAAGACATGCGTTTATATCCAATCGGGTAATTCATCAGTTAGAAGGGGCGGTTGGGTAGCCTAGTGGTTAAAGCGTTCGTTCGTCATGCTGAAGATCCGGGTTCGATTCCCGACATGGGTACAATGTGTGAAGCCCATTTCTGTGTCCCCCTCCGTGATATTGCTGGAATATTGATGAAAGTAAAACCAAACTCACTCACTCACTCATCAGTTAGAACTGATACCAGACCACTGAGAGGCATTGACTAACGAGAAAGCTGCATTCTCTTATGCACAACGGATATCGATTAAAAACATTTCAACACCTCATCACGGGTGGCGTGAATTCAAGAGGAGGCAACTGGAGAGACTACATTATGAAGATGATGATAGATATGTGACTTCTCTTGAAACTATGGACTATATGCAGGACAGTTTTCAAATTTTTTTACGCCACTTTTAACAATATTCAACATTCCACGTGCACGGCGTGGGACACGGGTTTCACACAATGTACCAATATGGGCAATCGAACCCGGGCCTTGGGTGTTTATAAATAGGTATACAATTCGCACAGCTCATGGTTTATTTTCCCTGCAGTATGTTATTGTACGATAAACACCTCGCACTCTTCGTTGTTTCTCACATGGGATATCAACAATATGTACAGCGATGTTGATAAAATGTACAAGCTTTAAATTTTTTTACCCGTATTTAAATAATGATGACCCCTTCAGCAGAATCCGACCTCGGAAATGTCGGTCAAGTCCATTTTATGCACAGGTGGAAATTTCTCGCATATTCTTAAAATCCTCATGTCGATAATCTGTAACTTTTCTCCCAATACCGACAGGCACATCTCTCCCACTTTTGGATGCAATCTTTTATCTGCGTTGCCCTGCTGCTTCTATGGGGAACAACTGATTAGACACTCCCCTCTCAAAACTAACGTCGTCCAATATACGACGTCATCAAGTTGCGAGCGCATGTTCGAATCTCCAGACATGACGTCATGATAGAACAATATGAGATAAACCACATCTCTGTTCTTTATTGTTCTTTGCGATTTATGTTGTAGCTAAATATATCTTATATAAGTAGATTAAACACAAGTCAGGTCAAAAATGCCCTCTTGTCGCTCTTATATACCGTGCGGCACGGGTGGCCCAGTCGGCTAAGGCACCGCGATTCGCTGTGCAGAGTTGCGTCCCTTGGGCACTCCAGAAATCTATGATTGTGGGTTCGAATTCCGATTGGCCCCGATTATGTTTCTAGGTTTGTCAGCACCATACTCGAGCTCGTTGGTTTCACCTAAGTGAGAGACCTGCATCACTTTGGGCTTTCCTCAAACATTAAGCCGTGATATATCTAGAATACTGTTCAAAACGGCGTAAAACCCAACTCACTCACTCTTATATACCGCTGTGTAGAAAATGTCCCATCCCTAAACTTCTAGAACCTTCAAGCCTCCCAGGTACATGTAGATAACCATCTAACAGACAACAGATGATGCCAACACGAGGTTCTGAGGTCCACGTAGATAACAGGCTGACAAATTGAAGCAGGTTCTTCATAAAAATAACCTCATGTATTACTCGCCCGTGAAGAGATCACCCGTTTAATAAACTGAGGTGAGGTGAAATGGGGTTTAACGTCGCGTCCAAGATTATTGCACTTATATAGCGACGTGCATGTACTAGTGTGTGTTTGTGTAAAAACAAGTACCATCTTTTAACGTCTTTTGGTATGACGCGGCCGGGGATCGAACCCCGGACCTTCCGCTCTCCGGGCGGACGCTCTACCACTAGACCACGGAGGCGGTCTAATAAACAGACAGCTGTATGACACCTACATATAGTATGTAATACCAAAGCACCTGCTTCTGTGCTGTAGGAACAAGCTGCATTACCAAATATTAAAAACTCCCAACATCCCTCGTCATATTCAACGACATTGCGTGCATTCTCATCAAAATCAAATCGCTACGTCACATGGCATAGTTTCGCCGTTGGATCTTGCAACAAAATTCCACAAATTACATTTTTGGGTATTTAATTGTGACGTGACTGTAAACTTTGAAGTGCATCTGGGCCTTGTTCAACAAGGCGATCGTTGCGGCGCGACTGTCGTAAGTCTATGTTAAAGTATGGGTGTTACGATAATCTTAGCGCTACGACAGCTATGTGGACCGCACTCCTGAATTCTAAAGGTGGGCCGTTGTATCGTATTAGGTATTAAATTAAAAAGTGTCAACTCTTAATGTGTTTGAAGTATTATTCTGTTAAACTCAATTGGAATAAGATGTGGATCGCGTAGATGTCTGCCTTTGTGTACACAAAAGTAAAATTTGAACAAAAAGTTATAACGGCAAGTAATAAATAAAATAAAATACTTCACACCAGCGATGCGGCGTCTGCAACCCACGGGGCGTCTACGGGCTATGCGACAACGTCATAGGCCGCCGACAACGTTGACTAACTTGGCCAGGCGCCACTAGAGTGTTATGAAAAGACTCCCTCAAATCGTCATTAGGAGGCTCGTCGAGTGACTGAATGTTTCCCATACCGAGGCCGAATAACGCACCAAATACACCCCAAAAAATTAATTCTATTTAAGACGTCAAAGGGTACACCTGCCAATTTGCTACGGTTAAAGAATGATCGTCCATAAGTGGATTCTGGCACTGCTAAGAGACGCAACTCCCAATCCTGATGATGACATATAGTTAATTAATAGGCCTTAGAGTCAATTAATAGCACAAGAAACATTATACGTTTGCTAGAATGATTTATTGAAATCAATTCATCAACGTGTTGATCGGGAGGATTACTCAGCGTCATCTTCAAATGCATCCTCGTGGGCCTCGCGGAGCTCCTTCTGCAAAGCCGGATCTGAAAGGAGACAATTAAAACCCATTAATACATCCAGTTTCTATGTTACAAAATAATAAGTTCTATCCAATCAATAATAGGTGTCACGGGGAGCCAAAAGGTCTTAGGCACCAGGATCCGCTTCTCCTGGTTTCAGGTTCGTCCTGATTATTATCCTTGATCCATCCCTGAACCACTCACCTTGTCGCGAACACCTGGTATTATCACTATATGTCAGTGATTCAAACACACAATCGTACAAACGTACAATCGACTCTGCTTTTGGCAAATATATCTTGTCAATATGGGAAGGGGTATGTCACTTTTATTTCACCGAATGTGTAAATGACGAACCATGCTTTTCTCCACTGGGACTCACATAACTGGGAAACTGCTCAACTCGGCGTTAAACCTCAAGTTACTACTTCACTTGAATCAGACCATAGTTTCTATTACCTGCATCAATGGTCATGAAGTCATGGATGCTTCTCGAGAACTCTTCCACACTCACGTTCGAATCACCTGAAATGGTCGAAGTGATTTGTCAAAATCCATGACGTGAAAAGCATTTAAACAATAAATGTCGGTAACATGTAGTTTCTTGGTATTACTAGACCTTTAATGAAACATGAAAATATTGCTTTAAAATATTATGAAGTGAAAAGTAAGTATTTGTTTCACCATTTTCATCAGCAAGTGAAAGTAGATCCTCGGCTGCCTGTCTTTCCATCAGTTGCTCAGCTTCTGATTGGTCAATGTTGCCATCCTTGTTCTTGTCAATGTCGTCAACATTCCGCTTGCCTAAGGACGTTGTAAACAAAGAATGTCCATTAAACAAAAAGCTCACCTGTCGTCTCGTGTTATATTGAAATCATCGAACAAACAGCTACACATTGTATACTTTGATCTAACGTGTCCATCATTCCTTCATTCTTGAAATAGTTGATCAAACAAAGATCACACGGTACTCTAGCGTCCCTTAATCGTGGCATGATCCGCTGACTGTGTTTTTAATAAAGTGGTAAACTTAAACAACAGGCTTCCCTCCCACACATATCTGACAAGCCGTTACATGGCTGAAGTAGTGTTCGAAACTCACTCAAGTCAAAACATCGTAACGAAACAGTATAACTAGCCCGATGACGTCACATTTACTGTCACTGCATTACTGGAATCTTAACTTTTTTTTAAATCTAGATATTATTATATGTGTGTTATTCACAAACGCCAGGAGTGGCTCTAGTTGTATTTGACAGTTTTACACTGCCATTTGACGACAGATTTTCATTTGAAATAATTACCTTCTTTCACTAAATGGTTCAAAATAGTACTAAGTATTTAATATGGATATTATCAGTTGTCAAAATGTGGGGATACATCTTTGGATACGTTGGCGTTAGAATAGGATGGGATTTGCATGAAACTGACACCCGTTAAACTTTCATTTCAAGCAAAAGCAAAAATACACAATCCCCCACCAGGGCACTCACAATATCCCTGTCAAATGTTAAGTTGTATATCATCGAAGCGGGGATAATAAACCCTTAACTTAATATGCAGCATTGCTAAATATTCCCTAGCCTGTCGTGTATCCGAGCATTTCCTTCCCACTGTGCTGCCAGGGTAAAAGAAAACCTTCATGTGTGTGAAAACTCCTGGCCACAGAAATAAAGATGATACAATTTAAACAGATTTTTCGTCAACTTGTCTGAATATGTAGATAATGTTATTTGAGATTGTCTTTTAAAACAAACGTATATAGGCAAAAGAATATCTTGGAAGTTGACACGTGACTTGCATTCAGCGGAATAAGACAATAGTGCTTTTCATATTTGTTACAGTTTCCATTACCACTAAATCTGAATGAAAGCCTGACACATATCGGAACGTTTAGTCCTGCTCTTACCGAAAATTGGCTTGATGAAGTGTCGGTATCGATTGTAAAAACCGTAAAGCCGTCCAGCGGCTCGAAGAATTCGACGACCCCGGATCCGGATCCTCCACCTTCTCCAGGCGTCCGACTCCGGGAGCACCACCAGGGCCACGAGCAGGAGGACGAGGAACAGACGCATCCTGACGAACTGATACTATCTGCGTGACATTAAGAATAATTCTCCATATTACCAATGCCATCACCAGTGGAACAAACTACTCGCAATCTGTTGTGTTTTGCAAATGGCTGAAGGAAAGGATAATGAATCATGTTTTAAATATCTGTATCTCCAACACACCGGTAACTGTCATAAATCACCACCTGACCCGGAATGCCACTTGAAGTTTGTAAAAAGTGTAGGTGAAACATTGTTGATGTCCATCTGTTTATAAAATATATATTTGAAGTGATCGCAAATTGATCACTTTTCTTAATGAACAACATTATAAAGAAATTTCTGTAATGTGGGGTTCAAATCATTATTCAAATCGCCAAAGCAACCCAAAACATACAAAAACCCAAGATCTTTGGTGATACCACTCAAGAGGTTAATTTAGGATTAGTTTTCAGAAGGGCTCACTGTCTTCATCCTGACGAACTTATATTATCTACTAATATCTAATTATAATATTCGACCCGTGAAGATCCGGGGTAGACTAAGTCTTCAGCATCCTCCAATGCTTGCCGTAAAAGGCGACTATGCTTGTCGTAAGAGGCGACAAACGAGATCGGGTGGTGAGGCTCACTGACATGGTTGATCCATGTCATCGTATCCCAATTGCGTAGATCGATGCTCATGATGTCTATCACTTGATTGTCTGGTCCAGAATCGATTATTTACAGACCGCCGTCAAATAGCTGTAATATTGCTGAGTGCGGCGTTAAACAACAAATAAACCAAACCAAACCAGTTATAATACTCTGCATATTATCAAAATATCAGTGCATTTACCAATGAAACATACTACTGACAGTCGTTTTTTTTCCTATGCCTTAAGGCAAGAAGGATAATATATCATATTTAGATAAATAACGTTTGAAATCATTTGGGTCTTTGAAACATGACTAATACCAATTTTGTTATAACATTTTATTAATTTGGGTAGGTATCACTTACTACTTTATAACATGAACTGCTGTATCTATAAGACAGAGTGTGCGTGGTTTTTATTCCGCTTTGAACTATAGTCTAGTTATATCACGGCCTGACACCTTCATGTGGGAGGAAAACCCAAAGTGATGCAGGTCTCAGAAGTTTATCACTTTAGTGAAACCCACGATTACAGAATTGTGGCGAATCGGGATTCGACCCCACGATCATAGGTTTCAGGCGTGCCCAAGGGACGCAACTCTGCAGCGCCTGAGACGACTGAACCAACCGTGCCCCCTGATAAAAAAGAATTAGTACCCAACTACCCAAGTATTCCATGACGATGGTAAACATGAGTCGAAATCAGAGGTTTCAAATCACGATAATCACCTCTGAAGTTCGTTTTCAATCATTGTCGGTAGTCATTTTGCAGTAATGATTACATGTGTAGGTTTCAAAATGCAGGATACACGTTGATATAATATCCCATGTATGTGTGTCAAATTACTAACAATACATGCAGAAAACACGATAGAAATAGACTAGATGTAAGCTTCAAATTTCACTCAAGTGATAACTAGTGGTGTAAAGGCCCAATTAATTTCTTTAGGGGTACCTACTTCACGTTTACAAACAAAGTAGCCGCGCTAAACACATTGAAAACAAAATGTTTATTTTCTAAATAGTAGACGCCAGTGGTTATAAACATTAAAATATCAGCGCATCGACGACCCACAAATAAAGGAAATACATCTTAAACGTCAGGTATAATACAGAAATCAATAATGATCTGTTGTACTCTCGTTCTCTTTGTACTCTCAAAGCTGTTCATTAACATGTCTACCTAGATGCTCTGACGTCACTCTGTAATGCTCTGACGTCATACTGTAATGCTATGGCGTCACTCTGGAGTGCTTTGACGTTTGTTTATGAAAATTTGTAGACTTGTAGACAGGCGCTGGCCTGTGGCAAGGGATTATGTAAGCTGGGCCCCGTCTCTAATATCCCAATATAGGAGCCGGTACAGGCGAATGAGACGATGGCTGTGAACGCCTTCGAAATATTAGACATACACTATGTTATGTTATTTTTAATTGGTCTCTATTTTAGACGAAGCGCTACCCTTCTTCAAAAGCCTCCACTGAGAAGCGTCAGAAAAGACCTTCAAACTTTAAATTGTACTAAATTGTAGGAAATTAAATTTCTAAAATTATTTTCTTCATGCGTACATGATATCAATATGTAAGAGAAATAATAGTGAACGTTTTCACTGGCCGTTTGTATTCACGGATGACCGTATACAATACCATGAAGTTCGCTCCCCATATGGGGGTACAATGTATGAAGCTCATTTCTGGGGTCTCCCGACGTGATATCGATGGAATATTGCTAAAAGCGACGTAAACCATAATCCCTCACTCACTCACTCAATATTCATACCGAATGTCGTTTATTCAAATGTGGTATTGGGAATGAAAAATACCCTGCTGTCATTGAAGAAAATCAATGCAGTAAAACGTCAAGACTTCTTCTGAGAGTCTCATCCCAGTTTACAAAGTTTTTCAGCCAATCAGATTGCGGCACACTCTCCCATAATGTTACACTTTTCATCCCATTAATGTTCGTTGTTTAACGCCACACTCAGCAATATTCCAGCTATATCAGGGCGGTTTGGAAATAATCGAGTCTGGACCAGACAATCCAGTGATTGGCATCGTGACAAAGGATCTACGCAATATAGATACGATGACATGCATCAACCGAGTCAGCGAGCCTGACCACCCGATCCCGTTAGTCGCCTCTTACGACAAGCATAGCTGCCTATTACGGCAAGCATGGGTTGCTGAAGACCTGTTCTAAACCGGATCTTTCCTACATCAAGGTATTTAATGAAACCAATAGAACCTAAACGTTACTCACCCAAAACAGACAGCTGAAGCAGTTTCTGTAGAATGGATGTATATACTGCTCATATTTATACAGATTTACATGCTGAACTTGTGAAAAGAAACAGGAAAACACACTCCAAAACAACAAGATAATATCTCAGCAGAACGCCATGTGATTGGTGGATTCGTTGTGTGTCGTGACTTGTAACAGCTGGGGGACTTGGAGCCCAGTGCCAGGTTTTGATGTAGTGCTCTGCTCATGGTACAAGTGTAACATGGTTTTTTTGTGTAATCGTTTTCATGATTGGAAATGATGTTTTAACACGTTCAAAACGAGATGACTAAACACGAGATAGCAAGGCATGAATTGGCCCATCCTGTTCGCGTGACTATTTTGACACTGTTTACACTCTGCTTGGGGCAATCCATAGCAACAGCTGAACGTGAGTGCCTCCTGTCGTTCTTTTAATAATAATAAAAATCAAAATCAGAAACGTTACATGCCCAAGTACTAGAAAAAATACGAGAACACGACCGTACTTTAAAAAAAAAAAAACTTGAGATTACGATAAGATAATCAAAATAATTAAATAACTGAAGAATCGAGAAACAACGAAATTTCAAATTTTTAAAATAAACTTGAATTAATGATAAAATAATCGAAATATCGACAAAATGCATATTTCGAAACAAATAAGTTACATAACGAGTAAAAATAAAAGTATGGTACCAAAGTGGCACTATTAGGCTTTCGTCATTTTTTAATATAAAATGAATGTGATACTTTAACCGTTTTGTTAAGATGTGTTTGGTTAATTTATAAAGCACACTACAAATGTATGTTCGTGTCAGCTTTAATCTGTCAACCTATTTTGGTCAGGCTCGGTTGGCAGCGTATCATCCCACCAACCCCGTGTGACGTTGCCCTTAGTTTTAATCACTGGTTTGTCTCTCCCAGACTCCATTATCCCGAGGCCATCCTTATTATTGTGTTTCTCATCTCTTTCCAAATGCAGCTTGCCCTCCCGCCGATAGCAAACAAGTATTTTTATTCCTGATTTATCCGCCGTCCATCTGTATTTCTTGACAAAAGTATAAAGTCTCACAACCTGAAGGTGTTTTGGAAACCACAGCCTTCTATATGAATGACAGTATGCGTTCTTAAAGTGAAATAATGGAAGCTTTTATTTCTGTGTTGTGATATAGGACTCGCTTCCATTGTACATGTAGTTCACATATAGAGCAGCGAGCTGAGCTGATGTTTGTGAAAGCTCACGCTTGAAAGCCTGCGACATTGGCAATCACACAGACAGGTGTTATTTGTGAAGTTCGGGGATGGTTTTAACTTGCTCGTTAAAGTAGACCTAACTTACTGCCACTTTTGAAAAGCTCCCGACTACTACCGCTTGTGCTTCTCCAGCGATAAGAGTGTTAGAGTGACTCTACCACTTCCCTTCATCAACTTCTACGCCAGGTACACTAGGAATGAGCCATTTTGGTAAAAATACCAGCTGTGATTCCATCTACTCATTGGTATACTTTGTCATTTCATACTTCATGCAAAAATATACAAAACCACTTTATCCACTTAAATCCCCACACAAGTTCAACAAAAAAGGAAACATTTAACCAACACTACTGATACTGCATTATCTGAATACTTTTGTTTATATTTATTGATTCATCTGGATATTGTCGTCGGTAAAGAGAATTACCTACATCGTACCAAATGCAACATATGTATCTCTAATTAGCCTATGTGTATCGAGCCATGGGGTGCTGCAAAAGCCTGGGGATATTTAGCGGTCATTCATTGTAATATACTGACGTCCAAAACATAGTACAACAAGACGTTTCTTGTCTAATTACTAAATGAAGTTAAACATAGACATAAAATCGTGGTGAAATAAGTCGCACCAATTCAACCAAATGTATTCGATGAAATAAAGCATGATTAAGTGTAAATTTGATGAAAAAATTGCACTCGTAGAACGAAATGGACGTGCAAAATTGGGATAAAAGCTTCTGACAGCACACGTTTGTGGAATGACATTGACGCCACAACACCGACACAAGACAACTTTGATCCAGAGGATCAACATGGCGCAAAGAAATGTTGTAGCATACCCACCTACTGTCATAAAGCGTACATGTGTCACCAAGAAGGTAAACAAAAATGTTATTTGTATGCGGTACCTTCAGGATCAGAAAGGAGAATATGGCACATGTCAGTTTAAATATCTATGTAATATAAAACATATTATAAAAACAAACAAAGTTATATGTTTTCAAAACCATGGCTTCCAGAAACAGTTGTCATTGTTTTCAAAGAGCAGTCACCAGTACATCGAAATCAATGTGATCAATGAGGTCGTGAATCTCACATGTTCTATGTCTATAATCACCAGTACATCGTAGTAGATGTGATCAACGAGGTCGTGAATCTCACATGTTCTATGTCTATAATCACCAGTACATCGTAATAGATGTGATCAATGAGGTCGTGAATCTCACATGTTCTATGTCTATAATCACCAGTACATCGTAGTAGATGTGATCAACGAGGTCGTGAATCTCACATGTTCTATGTCTATAATCACCAGTACATCGTAGTAGATGTGATCAATGAGGTCGTGAATCTCACATGTTCTATGTCTATAATCACCAGTACATCGTAGTAGATGTGATCAATGAGGTCGTGAATCTCACATGTTCTATGTCTATAATCACCAGTACATCGAAATCAATGTGATCAATGAGGTCGTGAATCTCACCTGTTCTATGTCTATAATCACCAGTACATCGTAATAGATAAAATCAACGAGGTCGTGAATCTCACATGTTCTATGTCTATAATCACCAGTACATCGTAATAGATATGTTCGATTAGAATCTCACATTTTCTATGTCTAAAATCACCAGTACTTCATAATAGATGTGATCAATGAGGTCGTGAATCTCACATGTTCTATGTCTAAAATCACCAGTACTTCATAATAGATGTGATCAATGAGGTCGTGAATCTCACATGTTCTATTTCTATAATCACCAGTACATCGAAATCAATGTGATCAATGAGGTCGTGAATCTCACATTTTCTTTGTCTATAATCACCAGTACATCGTAATAGATATGATCAATGAGGTCGTGAATCTCACCTGTTCTATGTCTATAATCACCAGTACATCGTAATAGATGTGATCAATGAGGTCGTGAATCTCACGTTCTATGTCTATAATCACCAGTACATCGTAAAAGATTTGATCAATGGGGTCGTGAATCTCACCTGTTCTATGTCTATAATCACCAGTACATCGTAATAGATGTGATCAAAGAGGTCGTGAATCTCACCTGTTCTATGTCTATAATCACCAGTACATCGTAATAGATGTGATCAATGGGGTCGTGAATCTCACATGGTCTATGTCTATAATCACCAGTACATCGTAGTAGATGTGATCAATGGGGTCGTGAATCTCACATGTTCTATGTCTATAATCACCAGTACATCGTAATAGATGTGATCAATGGGGTCGTGAATCTCACATGGTCTATGTCTATAATCACCAGTACATCGTAATAGATGTGATCAATGAGAATCTCACATATGATGTGTATACTACTACTGGTTTGGGGGTTTAACGACCGATCCTGATTTTGTGTCAATTTCCCAGGCGGGGTCAGGCGGGGTTTAATTTAGAATAGGATAAACGCACCTGACCCAAAAACTATTTATTAGGGGAGTTAGTTTGATGAAATAAAAATTGTAAAGTAGCCGTTTGAAGAGAGAGTAGTTACCGGGTGTGGTGTACGGGAAAGAGAGGCTGAAATAACAAATAAGAGAGAGTGTAGTAATGTGGTTGTCGTGTTGTGGTTGTGAGAGCGTGTGTTGACCTTGGCCTTGGCGAGAGAGCACGATGAAAGAGCTTAATGATCTACCGTGGATGGTTAAGCTGGAATTTTGCGCGCGGACGTCGTAGAAGACAATTTAGAATTTAGATCCCGATCCTATTGTTTGTTTGTTGTTTAACGCCGCACTCAGCAATATTCCAGCTATATGACGGCGGTCTGTAAAAGAATAGACCAGACAATCCAGTGATTGATATCATTAGCATCTGTACGATGACATGCATCAACCAAGTCAGCGAGCCTGACCACCCGATCTCGTTAGTCGCCTCTTACGACAAGCATAGTCGCCCTTTACTTCAAGCATGGGTTGCTGAAGATGTATTCTACCCCGGATCTTCACGGGACGACCCCGATCCAAATTGTAGAAAGTTGTATTTGATGAGGATTGTTTATGAAGAGTGTTTTTTTGGGACAGTTCTAATTTTGTTGGTGGAAATTACTGGTTTTTATGGAGTTTGAGATGGCTGGGAAGATTGCCGGGGAGTTTGTAGGATTAAAGAGGAGCGTTATATTGTTTTTATGTTGTAGGGAAGTGTATGGTAGAGTTTGTGTGCGTGTATGGAGGAGTTGTGGTTGCAAGTTTGGCTGCCAAATCCGCATGGTTTTTCCCAGGTGTGTTTGTGTGGCCAGGTATCCATAGTATTGTTATGTTTTTATTTTAGTGGTTAGATGCATAATGGTATTGATAATGTCTGGGCGTGATTTTTAGTATTTCTATTTGTTGTATCGAGCCTCAGAAATTATTAAGAAATTATTGTTTTTTTATACTTTGGTTTGGGGTTGTTTTTGAACTGTTTGAGTGTGGCTGGTCTTGTGTTGGGGTATTTGTAACTGATTAATTTATATGTTTGGTTTTGATGTGCCCCAGCGGAGTAGTTGAGGCTAATTTGATCACGCCTAAGGGGGACTGGTGGTATGCCTGATAGTAGTAAAATTACATCTAGGGACGTACCATTCCTTGTCCCCAGGGCTATGTTTAGGGCTTTATACTGAATTGAATTTAGTTTATTGGAGTTATTACCGGATAAAGGAGGACAGGAGCGGCGTAGTCCAGTTTTGCTTTATAAGGGTTTTATAAATGTTGTGTTTGGCTTGTTTGTTAACGTCCCTGTCAGTGCCGCTGATGGATCTCATAAGATTTATGTCATGTTGACAGGAATTGACCATGTAACAAATGTTATATTTCGGATAACACTTTCTTAGTAAAGTACAGATTCTCGTACTTGGGTTGAGTCCCGCCCATTGGCACGGCTCCCATAGC